TCTGTAGGTGTGGCCTGCTTTCTGTGTCCAATGCTGGAACCTCTTCTAACCTGTTCGGTAGATTTGATGAACCGGTTCTACCGAACTGGTGAGAACTGGTAGGAACTCACCTCTGTACCAGGCTCAATATTGACTCAGCCTTCCATCCTTCCGAGATGGATAAAATGAGGACTCAAATTGTTGGGGGCAATATGCTGACTCTGTAAACCGCTTAGAGAGGGCTGTAAAGCACTGTAAAGTGGTATATAAGTCTAAGTGCCATTGCTATTGCTATTGATGGTAGGAATGGCAGGAGAGCTGAATATCTGTCCTCATATGTCACGATTTTTATTCAGTCTTTAGCTTGCTTGCTTTTTTAAGATCTACACAAAGTCAAATGCTGTAGCCAGCATATGCTAGACATTGCAGGGCTGGGAAACCATAAATAGCAAAGAAGGCAATAGGAGCAACAGTGAGATTTGTACAAAACAACAACAACAACAACAGAACAGTAACATAACAACCCATTTTGCTTCTCCACAACAAGATAAACTGAGAACACATGGCCAGAAGAAGCACTAAAATTTCAGAAAATTTATCTCTATGTGATCTTACCTGTAAATGAGGCAGGGCAGATGCATTCATAAGAATCTTCAACATCTTCTCTTTGGCTCTTTCTGCTAATGCAGCTGCCACTGTTGTGGCAAGGTTTACTGGAACACTTATCAATTTCTTGGCAGAACTGTCCAGAATAGGGATGACTGCAGTGGCAATGGTAGGCTCCATCCCAGATACGACTTAAACATTTGCCATGACCTGAGCAAAACGTTGAGTTTGAAAACTTCTGACAAGCCTGTGACTTCACTGTCACATTCAATCGAAGTCCAAAATGGCATAAAAGCGGTCCTCGTATTGGGACCTCTGCAAAGTAATGTGTTCCAACGCCAAGCCACTTGGGAGCAATTTGACGCATCCCACTTAACCCATGGTCAAATAGAAGCTGATGCCGATGGACATCTCTTGGTTGAGGGCATCGGATAAATCCTTCCAAGGAAACATTTGCCAGGTTCATGCCATAAGACTGAAAAGATGGCTCCGGTGAAACAAAGAGCAGATCCCCCAGCTGAAGTTGCAGAGGACAAATCTGGGATAATCTCAGAGGCACGTTGCCTGCAGTGCTGCTTCCGTGGTACGGATCAATATTCCAACATTCTGTGAAGAAGCTGGAGCAGATGTCTTGGCTCAGTGACCATTTCACTGTATGTACTGTTGGCTGGGTTTTCCATTCAGACACCAAGGATCTGTTACACAATGTCTGTCCACCTACCATGGAAAGTTGAAGAAGAAGTGCTATTGTGACAACAAAGGACTGTAGTTTCATTGTTTTTGAACCTAAATCACACAGCGCGCTCTGATGATTCGGCTCTTGAGGACAGAATGGATTCCTTCCATTAAGAACCTGTCGCAGTGGTTGGTCTTTTTTTGGTATCAGTTGCACCGTGTCTGCCTATGAGAAATACATAAATGAGAGACCTGAATATTTGTTTATTTATTAAATTTACAGGACACCCATCTCACGGTTGAATTGACGCTGGATGCAATTTGACATGTTGGGCCTGAAAAGCTAAAAACAAAAGACAAAGGCTAGTAATAATGAGTTAGATGGTTTTTATTCCCCAGTTTTGAACTAACCCAACATGGAATAGAGATTATAACTCATCTGCTAATGATGAAAGAAATGTCCTTCTGGGTTCGGCTCCAAGTGGGGGGAAAAGACACTGGAGACATGGAGGCTGCTTGGAANGCATGGATTTGAACTGATTTAATCTACATTCTGGAAGACCACATGGAAGAGTAAACTATAAAGAAGCCTCTACGGAACTTGTAAAATGAACATTCTTGACTCATAACTCACTGGCTAATGTCAGCCCAGAGAAAAGACATAATTGTGTTTCAAAAGGAGCATAATATATGCATTCCCTAGTTGGCATATCATTGTGTACAGTAGATGCATTTCTTACCTGTAGCAGTTTTATCACATCGGCATCTAAAAGTATTTGGAGAAATGTTGCTACAGCTACCGTTGCCACAACAATGTTGATGACACTGCCCGATTATTTCTGAACAGTTTCTTCCTTATAAAACAAAACAGGGGGGGGGGGGAACATGTAATCTAAACTTTCAAAATGAATGGAGCTTTACAAAAGAATGAAGATGAAAATACAAGATTTAAAATTAGGATGCATAAAGTGTACAATACATGTTTCGCTCGGTATTAATCCAAAGCAATATTATTGCTGTTGTTTCCATGGTTCTATTCAAATTACTCTGTTAATGTTATTAGCATGAAGCAATGGATTGTATATAATGTTAACACTATGGTTCCAACGGGGCAGGTGTAATCACTAAAGGTATGTGTAGGAGATACAGATAGCACCAAGGGCATTGTAGGAAGAGGGAGGGAGGAAGGGAAGAAGGAAGGAAGGAAGGAAGGAAGGAAGGAAGGAAGGAAGGAAGGAAGGAAGGAAGGAAGGAAGGAAGGAAGATCGATTTCACTGTTAGTGAACTTCCAATTGCCAAACGTTGGGCAAAAGGAGAAATGGATCTTGATACAATATTTGGTTTGTGAAACTCCAAAGACCTGTAATTGTAAGGATGCTGATTTAAATATTTTGCAGATGGCACCAAAGAGACAGTTCTTAGATATTTATATTTAAATGTTCAGCGCAAATGAAGATATAATACTAGTCAAAATTCCCTCTCCCTCCCCCCCAAGGCAGTCTCACTGACCTCGTATACATAAGATGAGTTGCATATGGTCAAATTTCAGGGGGGGAAATCAACGTTCCAATATTTGAACAAAAAGACATATTCTAATATTTGCTTTTCAACATGATTTAACAGCTGCCTGGAAAGACAGTTTCAGGATGAATTCTGCTTAAACATGCTGCTTACTGGAAATTGCCAATCACAAATTGCTTGTGCTTTTCCAGCATATGGGACTAAATACCATATAATTCCGCTTGTCATTTGAATTGTTGCTGTACGGTTATTCACACTTGAACATTTTTTCCATTAAAAAAAAAATAACACTATGAGAGCCATTATTCTCTCACTCACACCTGTCACCTACAGCTAATATTTTAATCAAAACAGATTCTTTCACGTTGTTTGTTTGGGATTTACCTAAAATACAACTGTTCAAAAGCTCATGCTATGCTTGATTCTTTACATGTTCAAAACTTTTTTTTTACCCTTGCGATAAAACTAGATCAAGGCAGTTTTTATACCCTTAATATTTAAAGTAGGTGCAGAGGGAATCCATGCTGTCTACTACATATTGTCAGTTCATCCTTAAGGACAATCTAGTATTGCATTTTTCAAGAGGCTGCTTCCAATCTTAAGCCTAGTAGGGGCCGAGCTGAAAAAGATGTTTCTCATCTAACTGATCTCCATTTAACAAGCGACTGGAATGAGAAAAGGCAGAGCGGTGTGCTAGAATGAGGGGAGGGCTTTAAACTCTGTATGTACCGTGATCAAAATCGTAACAGCCTTTCTGTATTTTCATTCATGGTGGAAGAATGTTACTGATGAGCCGTGGTGGCGCAATGGTTAGCACACAGTACTGCAGGCTACTTCTGCTGACTGCCGGCTGTCTGCCATTTGGCATTTCAAATCTCACCAGGCCAGTGGTGGGTTTCAAAAACTGTTCGAACCTACTCTGTGGGTGTGGCCTCCTTTCTGGGAGTGGCTTGCTGCTCATGTGACCGGATGGGAGTAGCTTGCCGCCCATGTGACCGGATATGAAGATGCCGACAACACTTGTCAGAACCACCTTAAATTACCTCATACACAGCACTGGCATGCATAAGAATATGATGTAAACTTGTTTTTTTTTAAAAGGC